ACTTTCGCCCGGCATCTAATATAAAAGGTGAAAATCTTTTCGAAAGCTTCCAAAGGTTTCTGCCGCTCTCCCCCTTCAAACCGCCGAACGAATGAGCAGTGGGCTCCGAGAAGCAGCAGCTGGCAGCGGCCCCATAAATGCGGTTAAATGTAAAAGTTTTTGCATCTTCGGGATGAGCGTGCGGTGTTTGTACAAAGTTCATGGCTTCCCAGCTGGCCGGGCTGCATACGAAATCAGGGGAAGGTCGATGATGATGGCATCCGCCGATCACCAAACAAATTCTACTAGGTATCCAGTACGAGCCCCTCCTTTCGGGTTAATTATTAAAGAATCTTTCCGAATACTTCGGGTCAGGACCGCACTTAAGTGCAACTGCAACTGTAACCGCAGAGTAAACAGTCTGAAAATACGACTTTAAATGACCCGCGGCTGCAATATGCAGAGGAAACAAAAAATACACAGTGAAAAATTACATTCAACAAAAAATATATACTGCTTTAACTAAATTAAAATCAATTTAAATGTATGCGGGTTGTATAGCAAATCAAATGGTTTTTGTGGATGGATATTTTTTGTTGTTAAAAACAATATTGCTCTTTATACTTTATATGTTCTGTATTTTATTTGATTTAAGGCAAGCATTTTTCAAAGTGCAGCCAAGCATTACCAAGAAAGCCCTGGCCGTCGAAACAAGGCCATTGCGTGCCAGTTAAGAGCTCGAAATCAAGGGGTTAATGCATATGCCACACACTCACTCCGACACTGCCGTCGAAAATTATCTACCTACGGCCCATCCCATCGCATTACCAAATGCTGCAGCCTGAAATACTGTAAAATGTTCCCAAACATTTCGTTGGCCCATGCTAATTATGGCCAGTAAATTAGCTGGCGCGACCTTCGAATCAAAGAGCTGGTCTGAGTTTTTTGATAATAAGTCAGAGTACGTCGGTTTTGATTGATTAATTCAAATCGAACTGGGCCACGAATTGAATTTTTAATGGCTCCATAATTTGGCAGCAATTAGTGAAGGTTTTGGTGGAAGGGGTTAGTCAGTGGAGGGGCTTCTAAAAGGTATGTGGTTTTTAAAACCCCCTAACTGATTGTATTTAAGAGGGACTTGTAAAGGGCATTTCTGCTTCTGCTTGCCCGCAAAAGTTTTCCATTTCCCTAAAACATTTCTTTGTTAATTTTTCGAGGGCCTCAGCTCAATCAAGTTGACACTAACACATGTCGGGTCCTAAGTGTTGGCCCCCTTGCCCGTCGGGAAATGGGGGAAAACCTCTATTAATAGCGCATTAATTGATGATTATGTCGGTGGAAGGCGTCGTTGACAAACTACGTATCTGATGGGTACATGCAGTTGAAAACGCTCATGCAGTTGTAGGCCTTTGAATGCTGCCATTAATCAAACCATAGCTGCTGATTTCCGAAGAGCTTTGCTGCGGTTAAATATTTTGAGCGGCAACACATGTTGCCAGTGTCATAAAGCCCAATGATTTGTCGTCGGTGTGAGTTTATTTGTATGTGTTTGTGTGTGTGTGTGTGTGGGCCAGGCCGCAGCGACAGGCTTTGCAACATGCTCAACTCTCAACTATTTACCGCCGAAAAAAGCCAGCGAAGCTGCAAGCACCGAAAGTACGAGTATCTTGGCATCGCAACTGCATCCGATAGATACTCGCAACCGCAAACAAGCTGCAGCTTCGCTGAGCCAGATGTTTATGGAATGACTGGAGGGCGGGAAAAAGAAGCTGGGCGCTGGGGGGCGTGGCAGCGTTTCATTGTGCGTTTTGCGTTCTGCGTTCTGCGTCCTGCGGTTTCGGTTTTGGTTTTCTGGCTGCCTCGTTTCGAGTTCGGATTTTGCGTAAAAGTTTTCGAAACATTCGCCGAACTATGGCAAGCATTTTCGTATTCAAAAACTAGTTGGCTGTCAGCGTTCATCTGCTGGACGCATATATACGGTTAGATAAACGCCAGTGCTTATGCAGAATTGCGGAAGCCAAAGTTTCGCCAACAACTTTATGGGTATTTATTGATTTTGAAAATAGTTGCGAGCGAGTCGGTCTGATTGATGGTTGCATAGTTGCCATAGAACGCTCTGCCGCTGGATTTCGGCGAGTGGATTCATGAGATTTCGCCGAGCTGTATGAAATGCGATGTGATCAAATTGTTGTTTTGTTTTCAGCTCGTTCGCCCATCGAATAGTTAAAGTTTTAGTGGCAAATTGAGTAGCGGCCGGCCAATTCGAGTTGTTTACCCCGTCTAATGGCGGGTTTGTGGGGCCCGATCCAATCTGAATATCAATCTAGTGTGTGTTTCCCCATCAGGCCATTGGCTAAGTGTCGGTTTTCCCTGAAATTGGCCCGGCCTAATGCCACTGCAGCAGCTGCAGCGGTTGCGGCTGCTTTTTGGCCCCCCGGCAATTACGGGTAACACATGCATTACGCTCCCGCCTTCGCATACTCGCCAGGTACTTAACTTGGCCGAAAACTTTCGCCGAAATCTGCTCGGGTAAAAGTGAGGCTGCCGGCATTGGCCAGAAGTCTTTCGGGGGCAGCCAAACATTTGCCCAGACACGACTCCAAATTAACACGTAAATTGCAGCGGGTTAACACGCGTTCGAGTGCAGTTGGAAAGTGTTGCCGATCCGAATGCCCTGTCTCCGTTTCCGATTCAGTTAAGACTGTTTTTGCAGACAGAAAAATAAATTCCAATAAAATATATTTCATTATATAATATGCAAAAGATTTATGAACATATTCAGTAACATTCAAAGTGTTGAGTGTTTATTGAATTATCTGTATATTGTATTTAAGCTTTTACTTTAAATAACTTATTATTGAATTTGCATTTTGTCCCAAAAACAGTTCTGAGGCATTAAATATTTTTTCTACTATATCTAAATAAAAGATAAAAGGTATTAAAACATCACTTTAACGTGTCGGTTATCTTACCCTACAAAATACGAACATTTTAACCCTCGTTGCACACCATTTTTTCTGAATGTACCCTCGCCTTAGCCTCGTTAAAGACTGTTCGCTTGGCCGCCTGACTAGCGGGCCTTGTTACAATTAATTGCATATGCCGGGCAACATTTTTGCATACCGGCAACATGGTGCAGTTAACAATAAATTAGCGTTTAAAATGCAATGGCAGACCCCTTCCTCTTCGGCTGGTCTTGAGGTCCGGCTCGTTAGCCCTGCAAGATCACGCAGGCGACGTCGGGCGATCAATCAAGAGCCGGTAATGTCTACCCATCGCTACACGATAGTTTAGCTGAATTGCGCAATTAATTAGTTTCGTGTTAATGAGCAATGCGCATCATCCCGTGGTCATAACAAGCCATCCAGACACTCGGCACTCCAGCGCACTCGATGCGACCAGGAATTTTTTAATGGCCTTCTGCAAAGTAAACTAGAAATTTATGGCCTTCGGACAGGCTTTGCAATGAAGACTCACTTAAAGTTTATGGAAGCCGAAGGGATCCTCCACTCAAAGTCAACGATTTGTGGTGAAACAGAAAACTGCGCAAACTATCGCAAACTTTTAGCTTCTGTTGCAAGTTACACAGGGTGTGAATGCAGAAGAAAAAGTTATAAATAAAAAAATGAGATGTTTTAAAACTAAATATATTAAAAAAATAGAACTAAGAAATATATACAGAGGTTATTGAATAAACCTACGCCATCTGTAAATAAACTTTTGTTTCCGAACTTAAAAACCCTAATATGACAACTTTTCCATATTTTATTCCCCAGTGTAAAACCCTACCAATTTATTCTGACTTGACTTGTAGGGATTCACGTTTCCAAGTCATTAGAGGCTGGCATTTTATTTTATTTTTGTGGCGGGTGCTATTAAACACATATTCGAGCGTATAAAATACAATATTTGCGGTCTCCGACTGGCTTTACCCTTTTATTGTTATTCCTTGATAGGCTTCAAAACGCCATTACTCCTCCACCCATCACAACGATGTCAAAAGTTATGAGCAAACAATTTTCTGCTTAAAAGCGTCTGTCACAAAACTTTCGAGCGCCCCTTGTCAAGCCAAACAAATCCCGTATTGTGCCGCCCATGTCAGCCAATACTTTTCACAATTTGTCTGCAATTACGACAGCCGGAAAAGTTCGGGAGCTCCCATTTTCTGACTCGATTCGGTGCTCTTGCTTCAAAAATGAAATTCCTACGTGATTTGGTTTTAACGAGAAATGTCCCCGGCAGCAACTATCGACAATGCAAATACAACGTATCGTGTTTTGTAAATTACTACGCCAAATGCTGTCCGCTGTGGGGCGTGGCAACGCCCCCTATTATTCAACACACAATGCGAAATATCGTGTGTCAGAAATCAGGAATTGATTCAGTCCCCGATTTCTATTGTGGGTCCTTTGGAAAACGTTTTGTCGGCGGTGCGTGTTGTATAATGTTTCGCATAGTTTCGCAGCTGAAGTGGTTCGATTCGATCCCAGGCCCTCCCTCAGATCCTGTCATCATATAGTTGCAAAGTGGCGACAAAGCAAACAGTTTTCAGTTTTCAAAGGACCCTCTCGTTCGCTTTGCGAACTGACCGCTTTCGCTTTATAATTTGACAATCAATTGACAGTTCGTTGGGTAAACAGGAAAACAGAAAAACACAAATTCAAACACGCACTCGCCAAACGCAGAAATATGCAACAAAGCCCTCGACAATAAAAATATAGAATAAAATATCAAATAACTTGGCAAAAACTATTCGAGAGCAAATTGCGTTGGCCAACTTGGATTTCGCCATGACATTAGTTGAGTGCCGGAAACTGAGTGCTTGTGTGCGCAGCTGGGGTTACCAATTCAACCTTTTGGGATTGTCACTTGATGTGGAAACTAAGGATTCGCTAGAGATAGTGTAGGGTATAGGGGAGCGTTTATTAGAGTATTAATTGGTTTCATCGAAATGTAGATCAACATTTTTGACAAGCCCTAATATGTTTATATTAATTCCCGCAAAATAGCTTCAGTAAAAGTCCAATTTACAACATATTATTATTTTCATTTTAGATATTTCAAAAACTAAACACGAGTCTTTATAGCTAGACTTTCAAAACAATCTTACAGATGCAGACAATTAATTTCAGATGGATCTGAAATACTTTCAGATGTTTTCGCTATCTGTACCTCAAGCCAATGATGTCCAAGATGTCCTCTTTGGTGAGCTTATCCTCTTCGACCTTTTGAGGTTGCGGAGGTGCCACTGGAGGCTTTGCAGGAGCAGGAGTCGGAGTAGGTTTGTTGGGCAGAACGGGGGGCTTGGGAAGAGGAGCCGGCGGAGCAGCTGCAGGTTGATTAGAATGGTGTTGTTCCTTGACAGTGATTTGAAACTTTGTCTTGGACTTCTCAGCCATAACCACAACGAGAGGTGGCTTGGTTTCCTCACTGGAATGGGGCGGAGATGGATCTTTCACCCAGCAGCGATACGTTTCCAAGGAGACGCCTGGAGGTGGTGGCTTCGATAGAAGGTCCTCACTTTCGCTTTCAATTTCGCTTTCTACCTTCTGTAGATCCTTCTCATCCAGTTTCTGTGGCTCCGGAACCTCTTTTTGCGGCCTAAAAGGAGTCAAGTAGGTGGGGATGTGTGGACAAGCATGCTGTGTGATATCGCAGGTGCATTCGGACTGGACCTCCTGCTCCTCAGCCTGCTCCTCTTCCACTTCTTCCAGCTTCTCTCTTGCCTTCAGCCTGGCCATCCTCTCAACACTGCTTCCCCGGAAGGGACCCACATAGCAGAAGTCCGTGTCTTGGTCCTCCACTCCCGTCTTGGAAATCCGCTCGCCCAGGTGCTCCTCCTCAGCCAAACCATCGTCGTATTTCGGACGACAGGTGCACACTTTGCAGGTGCAGGTGCACTCTGAGTCGCAGGATACGTCTTCCGTGGAACAGGGTGGACACACCTTATCCATGGGTGGAAATGGCACTTGGTGCTCGGGAAAGTCTTCGTCCTCCTCGGTGAACGGCAGCCAGCGGCAGATGAACGGACCCTGGCTGCACTCCGCCGTAATCTCCGGGGATTCGCGTGCTTCTCCCGGTTCCCTGCAACATCGCAGATGCGGACAGTTGCACTTGCGATGGGAATCCGATTCGGTGCTGCTAGCTTGGGTCGAGTGCTTCAGGCTGTAATTGTGTCGCGATGAGGCGGTACTAATTGCCACCGAGTTTGCCTGTGTCACCACTCGAGTGGAAGTTTTCGAGTATGCACTACTTTGAGCCATAACCTGCCGGGAGTAGAGCACCTCCATCTGGACAGTATTCGATGAGGCCGTGTTCGAAATCGCTTGCGATTGGGCGGCCGTGTGCTGTCCGCAGGTGCAGACCTGATCGTCCGCCCACACGAATCGTGTCTGCAGGACATCGTAGAGGTTCTTGTAGACGCACTCGATCCTCTCCTCGAACTGCATCTCCTCGGAGTGCATGAGTCCGGCGAAGGCGGCATGGATTTGCGCAGTGCGTCGAGCGGCATGCAACCAGAGGCACTCCGTGTCGTGCGACATGTGTTCCAGCAGAGAGGCGTAGCGACGGCCCTCAGTTCCAGTGCCGTGGTAAAAGGCCTAAAAAATATAAATATAAATAATATAAACATAAAAAGAAATTATATTTTCATTTCAGAAATCTTTTTTTTGAAGAAATTAAATTTCTGCAACAGCGATAACTAATAGTTAAACCATCCCTAGATTTATTCACAATTTTTTCTCCAGTACCTCTTTATAATACACCTCTATTTTTAATCCCCTACCTTAAAGGCCCGCTTAACAATCGCATAGGCCATCTGGGCGTCCATTCGGGACATCTGCGCCTCGAAAGCCAGTCCGTGCAGGAAGCTCTCCTTGGCGAAACGCTTCCTTGGCACTCGATCGATCTGCTCAACGACCTCTCCGTAATGCTTCAGGGACCGCTTGATAACCTCCGCACTCCGCTTGACCTCCCAGGGTTTGAGTCCGCAGATGCGCATCACCTTCATCACGCTGTCGGTGACGTCATCGATGTCCTGTCGGTGGTACATTGCAATAAGCTCCGCATTACCCTCGCCACAGTCCTTCCTATCCGGCAGGTGGCACGGACACTTGGGCGGCATTGGAGGAATCGTTCGCGACGTTTCGGTCGAAAACATAATGGCTTAATTTTGGATTTACAAAATAATACAACTTTGAGTAGCTTTGGTGAGATGATTTGGATTGGTGTTTCTCTACCTACTTTTTTTTAAGAATAAAAATTAAATTTTAGATAAATTTATATGAATTCAATGATTTAAATACCCGATTTAAGTAGTAAGACACAAAGGAAAATAAAATTAAAATTATTGCGGGAGTATAACTCGATGATTAGATACTTTGTGGTTTTACAGCATATAATATTACCAGTGAAAAAAAGAATAAAATGAATTTGAATATTTTTTTTGTATTTGTGTTCCATACACCTACAGGAATTCAATAATTAAATTAAGACAATGGCACCAGTTGCGGTCTATTTGGCATGGGATGGGAAATGGGATCCCCTGGTTATGTTCTGAATCACCTGCCGCTGGGACTCGTCACACAGGCGACAGATTTCCCTGACAAGTGAATCGCTGCATTTCTGACGTTCCGCGGTCTCCGATACTTTTTCGAATCGGGGAGAATGCATATTCATCACAAAACCAGCACGCATGCTGATGTCGATATTTGTTTACCCAACAATTTCTGTCCCGCCCGCGCACCACGGACTGCATGTTTGCTGCCTGATTTACTACTGTTAATTTGAAATACTTTTATGATGCATTCCAAGCGGAAATGCACTGGGGACAAGATACACATTTCAACAAGCGACTGCGCAAAAACAACAAACAAAAGTGAGGGCCTCTATATCTCATCCAATATATAGTGCTCTCCAAGAGAAGACTTAAGAAAACAATGTCTATGTTAAGTGAGGTTGGAAAATAATGAATATTAAATACCCTAAAAATAAATAGTATTTGTTATGACAATATATCAATGCTAATTATGCTTAAATCGGAAAAAATACTATTCTATTAAATAAAACAACTTCTTGGTTTTGATATTATTAATCATATTATTATCGTCTTTTATCTTTATATTCCTATTTTTCCTATTTTAAGCACCGAATGTAATACATTAAGTCGAACATACATTTTAAATAAGAGAGCCCATAAATATTCATATAACATAAATGGTTCAGTTAGTTACTGTCACTCTGGACACAACTCCATCAAGGTCTGTCCCGCGTAAAAAGTGAATCAAAGTCTGAACAAATATTGTCATGCGGTCGTGACAAATATTTACATAGTTGGCGGGCCAAAGAATCCCGGGAAAGGTGAAATGCGGCTCCCCGTGCCCAAAATAAAATCAAATGAAATGAAAATACGACTGAAACAAAACGAACAGCACCGGAACGGAAAATGCGGGCACATTGACAGTGCGGGCGATTGATTTTTCCTGTGTTTGAATTTGAATTTCTGCTGCCGGGGGCCCAAGTAACGCCGAGGGTCGTTTTTCCGGGCCGATCTAAAATTAATGCATTGCAAATAGATGGCGCTGCAGTTGTCAGCCAGGCGGATAGACAGTCCGTAATTCCCGGGGATGGGGAGTCATTCGAGACGGACAGAATGAGTTTAATTGTTGACCTTAGCTATTAGCCCCTGTCAAGGGGCCTTTGTTCGTGCGATTGTGTATCTGTATCTTTGTATCGTTGAATCGCTGTATCCCTGCACTGCATTGTTTAGTGGACTGACACACAGTCGCTTACGCATTTCGCAGTACGCTCGCAATTTATATGCAGAAAACACAACGCACATTTGCGAATGCTTCTTAGAATCCACTTCAGACGCTCAAAAACGCCTCGGAATGCAAAAGACGCTGACTGACAATCGGAGTTTCAGAGCTCCACAGTTTCTTTGTCGGCTTCGAGCCCCACAATTTATAATCGCATTTGTTTATGTTGCAGCAGCAGTATTGCTTTTGATTTCTGTTCCCCGCATTCCGGCCAAAGTACAGCTCATTATTATGGCCCGTGCATCGCCAGATTGTGAAATACGACAGGGAATCGGGGAATATAGGTATGCGTTTTATAAAGCACGAAGCCCCGGGGACCCAACCTGCAATAAAAGATGATTTTAAGACTCATAATGGAGCGACTAAGTATGTTATGAAAAGGGATTCCTCTGATAGATTTCGTAGTGCTCTACTAGTCAACATTGCATAAGTGGATGTAAACTAATCACAATTTTTCTTTTTCTAAGGATGACCTATAATAAAACCAACTCAAACAACTCAAGCTCATCCTGAATAAACAGTTTGGTAAAATTGCAAATTAATCCAGGGTAAACATAATGCTCATCCATAATTGATTTCTGCAAAAGATCTTTGTGCTGCAAATGTGTGTGCAGTTTATAAAGGTCAATGGTTGTGCAACAAGTGATTAATGCCCGTCGAACTGTAATAACATTTCTGATGAGTGAAGCACTCCGGTTGCAGGGCTCCATTTCCAGTTGCTCAATCAATGCCAGAGCCCCTCGATTCCCATGGAGACTTCAATTTATCACGCTTGATCTTGATTAAAAGTCCGCACCCGCACACGAGTTCCCCCTTCAAGAGATGGAGGGCCAGACAAGCCAATTATAGACAGTCAAAGCCCCGTGAAGATGCCAGCGATCCGATCCGACGAAGATCCCCGGCCTGAGCTGCTGAATGAAAACGAAATGGAAATTATAATGCGAGCAGCAGCAACACATAACAACTGCAATAAAGACATCAACAGTTCGGGGCATCAAAGAACCGGCTGGGCAAAAAACGTAAAGGAAAATGCAGCAGAAAAGGGGAAAATCTCTTATGGGATTTCCTAAAATAATATTAAAATTAGCAACGCAGCGAGGAAAATGGAGAGTTCTCTCCTCCGACTATAAATCCAGATCCGGGGGCACATCTTTAGTTTCGGGAGGAGTAGATCAATCAGAGCTTAGTGCCAGTAATTAGGAATGATGAATGTTCGATTTGCAGTGCAATATGGATGGGTTGTAAATAAACAGACAAAGAAAAAGCGATGTGGTCTTTAAAAAATAGGAAAACTAGAAAGCATAGGAATGCCATAAACAAAAGGGTAGGATAAAATCGGAAGAGTCAATTAAGATATTTGTGGATGTAGAGGAATTTCTTCTTTACACCATGCTTTCCATTTTTACAATGGGGGCCTTGGTTTCCTTATTAAATTTCTTCAAAACCAAAACTGCATTAGGGCAGCCCACTGTTGTAAAACCATATACCTATATATATGCTTACCTTGCCGCGTTCACACGCTCGATCCGATTCCGACCAGCAAACACAGAAATCCTACGGCTGGGGGTAATAATGTTAGCGCCATATTTGACCGCTCTGTTGGCCTTATCACGCCGGGCACACTAGTCAGCTCGAGTGACCACCACAAAGTTGCCTGACCACAGTACAGTGGGTCGAAATGGCAAAACTAAATAGTTTTCCATTGCAAAAATATTTTATTGGTTGCATGTTTTCAACCAGAAAATTATGGGAACACTTAAAAAACAGAGTTACTCTTAAACATTGATGAACCTTTAAAAACCATTTATTTGTATTTAGGTATTGTAATTATTAATTCCCAATTTATATATTATATATACGCTTGTATATGTTTACCTGCATTATTAAGTAGTAATAACAAGCTAAGAGGTTGGATCGTTTATTTCACTTATTATTCATTGCTGATTGTTTTTGTATGCCAGGAATCTACCTGTTGGCAAATTGAATCAGAGATAATCAATAAACTTGCAGCTTTCTCCACTGTGCACAGGTGCAATCGCCTGTGTGCCCCACACACGGGCGAACCACTTGGGGCATGGGCGGGATGGATGGCAGGTGCGGCGGGCATTTACAACATTTGCGGTCTGCAGGCATTTGCATTTTGCATTCGAATGGGCCACGCTACCGTACGGATATGTGTCTATAACAAAACAATTAGAAACTACGGAGCTCGGGCCTCCGCACTAAGTCCTCGGCGATTTGACGCTGATTTATGATTTGGGCGAAGGCGGAGCAGGAGGCGGGGGCGAGGGCTGTGGCAAAGTGGGCGGGGCCGCAGCTACGGAAACTCAAAGACAGGCACGTAGCAGAAGGCATAAGGCAGAAGGAGGGGATTAGCCATCGACCAAAAGGCAAATAAAAGAAACTTGGCACACACATAAAAAGCCAAGTCGAAAGCAGGGTGGTTGGTGGGTGGTTGGGTGGCTCGTGTGTGGTTGGATGTCTCCGTCATTTTGGCCACCCGGGGGCATAGTAAAATGCTAGTGAAACAATTATGCAATTACTTAATTTGATAGCCCAAGTGTGTCCGTGGGTTTTTCTATGTGTGTGAGTGTGTGTGCCCATGCAGGCCATCTCCCGCATTACGTATACGTAGCGTGGCCCACGGACTTTGCTTTGTGGCCTGTAATTGTTTCCACTGGCATTCTCGCACGCGCAGGAGTTGACCAACATTTGGCTCGCATTACCCGGGGTTATGAGTGCGGCAGAAGTTCTGCACTTTTTGCCTCATTAAATGCAAGTCAACAGCTATTCATTTCGGTTATATGTTTCCCCTTGGAAATTTACCTTTATCTGTGGCAATATTCATGTCAGCTTTTCGCCTTCCTGCTCTAATGCTGCTTAGAGTCACTCGCACAATATCCTTGCCATGTAATCACTTCTTGTGAGGGAGGATGGGGACGAGAACCAAATAACTTTTTATTATCATGGCCCGAAATATGTCACAGCACTTATTTCGTCCTGTCCCGCCAGAAATTTCAACAACAATCAACACCTCCGACGCCTGGTGAAAAACGGGGTGTACGCAAAGTGCTAAAAATTGCTAGAAATCATGGCTAATATAAATCATCTTGGCAAGCAGCTTTGCATGTTTAAGTGTCATACATAAGGCAGCGCAATATGAGAGCGCTCACGTAGGATGAAAAGCCAGAGGGACGCGGGGCAACCCGCACATAATAAACACTTGGAGCTTGCCTTAACCCTTTTTGACTTTTGCAAATGTGGATCTCAAGCCCCTTCCTTTCACCCAAAAAGAAGAGCTCAACCCCCCGATGGATCCACCCCAACCAAACCCACCTGGGCGCACCTTTTCCGGCTGTTTGAGGGTTCTGTTTGCTTTGCTACTCAAGTTGTGTTTTGTGTTTATTTTCG